AAATATAGATAGTTACACAGACAACTGGGGAGAACAGGAAATTTGGAAATAATACATTAGATGTATATTTTCTTTCAGAGTGGGTAAGTAAACCAACATTTAACGAAAAGTGGGTAATAATTTATTGAATCTATATTTGTCAAATGCGATGTTTATAATATTATATATATATATAATATTACCTCCGACTTGGAACTAAAGAGAATTTTAGATATTAAACAGTTATAATGCGATAATATATATTTAACATCTTTGTAGTCAGTCGAGTACAATTTTTTTATGTGATAAATAATCTGTGGTTTGGCATTTTTCTTATTGTAGTAAAATTTTAGAATACGTATATATTTTATGCATTTTTTTAAGGCAACTATTTCAGCTACTTGGTTTCTATTTAACATCAGAAACAACGTATGACTTATCCATGTTGATTCTAAACATTTTATCTGTTAAAAAAAAATCAAGAAAAAAAAATTCTGATTATAATGTTTTATAACAAATACTGTTGAAATAATGCTTAAAACACACTACAGAAAGCACTTTGGACCTCTCAAGTATCTAGTCCAGGTGGAAAGAGATTAATTACAGGGCCTGCCAGATGTTCTGTTAACTGTATTATCTGTTGCTCTTACCTCCTGTCAGTTATAGAAGAGTCCATTTTTAAAGAGGTGGGGGACAGTGAAGGGTAGATGTATAAACATGGGATTTTATTTCATGTTTCTCTAGAACCAAACATGTACTTTTGAATAAATTGGCTTCATGAGTAATTTTTGTTTTTAGTAGCTCTTCAAGTAAACTTAAGAGATATTTGTGAGCATAATATATTCTCACACTGTTTAGGTTCAGCTGCTTTTTACACGAGTTGATACTTATCTGTGAAAGTGTAAATATAGTAACTGTCTGTCTGCATTGAACTTGTTGTGTGTGTATTATTGTTGTTAATAAGTGACTCTAGGGGTTTTAATTTATTAAGAAATATTAAGTTGTGGTAATATAGTGTAGATGTATTAAGATAGCAAATCTGATAGTCATCTCTTGTTATTTACTGATCTGTGTCTAAAAGATTGTGAATTTTGTTGTAAGCATCAAATCCAGCTCCTGTATGCTGTAACTAACAAATATATGATGTAGTATAATCCATATAATATGATACTATTTTATATTTATGTCTTTAATCCTCAGTGTATCTCACCCCACTAGGGAAGCTTATGAGAAGGAAAAATCTCACAGCCAGACTTTGTTGAAAGCACTGGAGTCTGAACGTTCCAGCTTCACCCAGTTACAGCTGGTTCTCGAATCGGAGAGACGTCGAAGTAAGACAGTGCATGAGCACGACAGCCAAATAATCCAGGTTTGGAAATTACATATTATGAGAAAATAGCTACTACACGTTACAACCACAGTGTGTAAATCATATCAATCAGTTTCATATCTGTTGTCTTTCTATTTCATACTTTTTAAGTTTTGTTGCTTAAGGTATCAAAAAATAACTTCTTTGGATGGTCACAGTCAGTATTAATAAAAGCTTCCATTTTTTAAAAAATGTGTACTTAGAGTAACATTTCAGTTTTAACAACTTAATTATTTACTTAATAAATTTATATTTAGGGCCAGTTTTTTCTTAAGTTTCCACAGGTTATTGGTAAAATCATCAGAAATAATTCTACTGTTCCACATGAAACATCATTAACATTTTTCATCTTAGTGTGTCTTTCCATGCAGAACTACAGTAATGTATAGTAGTTTTTTAGATTTGATAAAGACAGGTGAAGTGTAGCTGAAATGTACAATTGGCTCGGAAATAATAGAAAAATTTTTTTAACTGCAGCACATTTTTTTAGAAAGTTTATAGTTCATAATTTCTCTAGGATTTGAAAAAATCAATGAACTCAAGTGAAGGCGGAAAATTTTCTCCAATGTCGACACCCTGCGATGTTGAGAAACTCAGAGGTGCAGATGTAAATAGGTGTGTAATCTTGTATCAAAAATGTAATATTTCACATTGTTAAAAAAACTTTAGTCTATAATTAAATTTTATTTTTTTTCAATAGGTTCTAAAACTTGGATTTAATAAAAATTTCACATACTTTTTTTTTATTTAAATTTTAAGATCCATTCTTTGGAATTGATTAGTTTTGTTTCCAAAGAAAACTATTATGTAACTTATGTCCACTTTTTATAATCTGTTTATTCACAAATGCTTTATTAATTATGTCGTTATACGTCAAAACAAATTCTGTTTAAAAATAACTTCAATTTTTGCTTCTTGAGAGCGATATCAATCAAATTAGTAAAAGTTGATATTTAAAATTACATTAACATTAAACATTTTACCATCTTTAATATCTAACAATAACTTTTACAGAGGATATTAAAACCATGTTTAAATGTAAATTTAACATTAAACATTTTACCATGTTTAATATCTAACAATAACTTTTACAGAGGATATTAAAACCAAGTTTAAATGTAAATTTAACATTAAACATTTTACCATCTTTAATATCTAACAATAACTTTTACAGAGGATATTAAAACCAAGTTTAAATGTAAATTTAACATTAAACATTTTACCATGTTTAATATCTAACAATAGACAGAGGATATTAAAACCAAGTTTAAATGTAAATTTAACATTAAACATTTTACCATGTTTAATATCTAACAATAACAGAGGATATTAAAACCAAGTTTAAATGTAATCATTTTACCATGTTTAATATCTAACAATAACAGAGGATATTAAAACCAAGTTTAAATGTAAATTTTTTTACTTGTATTAAAGCTTTCTAAGCTATATTTAAATACTCCCAATGTCCCCAAAATGAAAGTATTTTAGAGGTATTTTCCACATATTCATATTTGTTGAGGACTTAATTGTGGGTTTGGCATGACCTAGTGGTTAACATGCCTCCATGTAAGTCCAAGGATTTATGGTTCATTTCCGGTTGTTGCAAAAACATGATTATCACTTTGGTTGATTATAAGACTGACTATCAAACCTTACTATTTAATTAGAGTTGGTAATGAATGCTGTTGATTAATCTGTCACTTGAAGATTAGGAATGTCTACTGCAGCTCACCCTTATGGAGCTTTACACAATTACTGGAAAACAAACTAACCAATTAAATGACTGTATTGATGTAAATCTGTCTATGTTATAAAATGTATTTATTCTTTTGAGTTTCATTAAACATCAGTTAGGCTTTATATTAGATAAGTTGTTCAGAAATGCTGCCCTACAGCCGGCTGTTTGAATTATTAATTACTGAGAATAATATTATAAAATATTTCATCTTTTTTATATATACTAAAAGTGGTACTATTTATTGAAAAAATAATAGTTTTTTAACAACTCCAGTTTCTGAGTACTACATTTACAAATTGCATCAATAAGGATATAATCGTGAACAATGTTAGTGAAAATTGCGTTCTTGTTGAAAGGAGACTACTTTCATTTAAAGAAATGGTTGTTGCAAATACCACACTTATTTTTCTAATTTTTATGGATTTTTGTTTGTGGTGCCATTCAGTAGATGTTGCAGGAGTTTTGGTCACATACATAAATACTGACATACATGCTACATCCATTATATTAAGGTGTTTGCTTTATATTTATAAAAAAGAAGAAAAAAATAGTTTTAATTGTTGTATTACAAGAAAGATATTGGTGTTAGATGAAGACACCAGTATTGAGTCTAATTGTGATATTAAAGAAATTCCAGACGAAGCATACACACAAAGACATTATGTTGATAAACTCTGGTGTTATATAACAATTCTTTACTCTGTCGTCTCATCAGATCACTGGGGCTAGACTTGAGTAACACCCTACATCTTCAGGCCACACCCGTGGAAGAATCAAAATATACAGAAAAGGTAACAGTTTTTTTACTTTCAACTGTACGTAATTTAGTTTTCACTTATTCAATACAAAAATGTTTTGTAAATTAATATATTTACCATACTGATTTTAAAACTTGTATCCATATATATGCATGTCAAGATATACAGACAATGGCACTGTATCACTAGATAAATAACAACCAGTGGAAATTCTAATGCTGCTTATTGAGTGAAACCTGCCTGGTCCATAGGATCATATCTTCGATATAATAATTATTTTGTTCGGTGTTTCCCTGTTTAGTTAATACTTCCAGTCTCCAAACCTTCTGCTCACCCTGACCGTTTTCTCTTCAGTAAGGTACCCGACATGTTAACTTTTCCTCCATTTGATATTCTTATTAATGTGAAATCTTATCCTGTTCTTGATATAATGTTGTTGTTTTTTCCGATTTACTTGTGTAGTTTTGTTTTCCTCTTAAGAATCTATTCAGTATTTAAAGTGTTGAAATTCTGGCACAAGGCAGGTAGAAGGTATTAAATGTTTATCATTCTAACATGTACACAAAATAAACTAGCACACCTGGAACTTACTTACTCACAAGTGTAATTCTCTTTACTATTGACTGTGTTGTAGCTACAGAAGTCAGTATATCAGGAAGCTAAAACAATGGTTGTGTGTGTTCTCAAAAAAAACTACATGTAATTAATATTTTTTTTAGAAGTTAATTGTTCTGTGAGTGTATTATTTTTAATTGAGTATACACGAAAATACATTTTCTTAATTTTAAATCAAAAGTATGATATTCAGTGTTGTGATTCTTATAATTACAGCCGTGTATTAGATGTAATACATTAGAAATGGAACACGCACTTTGGGTCCAAGAACAATCCAAGCTCCAACAATCCCTTCACCAAGCCGAAAGTGAAGTCGTTAGACTTAGACGACTGCTTCAGACAGTAGGAGAAGAGAATAATAAATCTACTTTGACTTCACTGGAAAGCAAAGTGTGTTTTTTTTTTTATATATATAATGAAAATCTGTAAATAAAATACAATTTAAATACCTATATTTAATGTTTGTAGAAACAAAATATTACCAAATATGAATGTATGAATTAATTTATTAGTGTAACAACAGAAGATGATAATTTTCTATTGTTGAATGTAATCAATTTTCAATATCTTAACTGATTTTAAATGTATCTAAATCTTTTTTTTTCATGAAATGTTTTAGAATTGATGTTTTGTAATGTTACAAATCTTATTTAGTGTAATTTGCACAAAAAAACAACAACATTTTTTTAAATACTTGAACCAATGGGTATTACTTGTAAACAACATCCTTGTAGCTGTTTTTACAATTTTTCTGCCCATCCCAAATATTTATATTTACACAAAAACTGTCATCCACTGGAAATACTTATCCTTCTTTTGTTTCTCATGTGACTTTTCTGTCGTGATCTTATTGCTATAACCTTGACCATTTAACATGTCACGGTAAGTGGATTCGATGGTAACTTATGAATTTTAGCCTTCGAACTAGACAGAAACCATGGGTATTATTGCTGTCTATATGCGTTATTGTAAAATAAATAAAGTGGTGGAGTAAGCAGTAATCTTTGATTTGTGAAAAAGTGACTAGTAGAAGTTCTCAAAAGTGAGAACAAAAAATTCTAATATGAAGTTTACAAACTTAGAAACGAGCCACAAACCTGGCAATTTGTTATAATTTCATTTGTGATAATCTTTTATTGTTATCTCTGTTTTAAAGCTACAGGAATATTATTTTATGAAAAGATACCTTGTAAGGATGTAGCTTGACTGAAAGTATACTTCTTTATATTAGTGTAGGCCTTGGATATGAGTTCAAATTGTATTTCTACCAGTCAGTGTTTTTACTGATTACACAGGCCTGCAATGGTTTTGTTGTCTTCATATTTTTACGTGTTCTATGGTAATTCCTGTACGCTGAATCCAAAAATGACATCCATTTTTCTCCATCACACAGATTTTTCACAAAAAGTCATAACACAATACATAAAAGAAAGACCACAACATGTAAAAGACAGATTTCACAAAAAAACCAGGATGAATGAGGATGCATATTCGTTTGACATCGGTGTTCTTCCATTTTCTTCAGTTTGTTTGTATTTTTGTTAACAAACATAATAATAATAAAGAATGTTCATTGTGGTAAAAGAAATAATAATTTGATCTAAGTAAGAGTTATTTTTCTTTTTCCCGATTAGTATAAAAAATCTTACATAGATAAAAAAAATTAATATTTTATTTGAAATCTGCATAGCTGAATTATGAAAAATCCATTATTAAAACCAAAACAACTTTTATGAAGTTTAAATTTGGAGGCCTGTGTTATCAATATTTTATGGCATTATCATGGCTATAACTGCTTCAGTTGGGTATAGGTATATAAGAAGTAGAAATAATTGGTGAAAATAAAACAAGCCAGAACTCATTGGATATATAAAATCACTTTTAAATCAGTAATATTAAAAGAAATCCAATTTTTCTTTCTTTCATATTTTCCAGTAGTTACTTTTATTATATTTCAGAGCTTGTATGAACAGATGAGAAGATGAGTGTACTTTTACTAAAGCAACATAGACACACAAAAAAGCTTTATTGAAAAACATAATTTTTGGATACATTTGCAAGATTTTAGGTCACAATAAATAAAAAAACTAAAACTAAAGGAAGTATTTGTTAATGTTTTTTAAAAACTGTGTCACACAACAACATTTCACAAACTAAAATATAATACATGTATTAAAACAAATTATAAAAAAAATAAATTTAAATACAATATAAATATTGTAAAAAGTGTGTGCCAAATTTATGCAATTACGTTAATCATCTTAAGTGTGAAGACAAAAACATGTGGTCACAGTAATTCCTTCTGGTCCAGAAAGGGTTAATTAATGTCACTGTGACCACATGTTTGTTTTCTTTTCACACTTGAGATGATTAACTTAATCCATATTTTTGTGTAAAATATGTTAAATGTTATTAACCCTTTCTGGACCAGAATGATGTCACTGTGACCACATGTTTGTTTTGTCTTCACACTTAAGATGATTAACCTAATCCATATATTTTGTGTAAAATTTTATTCTGGTCCAGAAAGGGTTAATAACATTTAACATATTTTACACAAAATATATGGATTTTATTCAATATTTTTTTTATCTTAATATTGAACAGTCCAGTGATTTATTTCTAAGCTCTCTTTAATTTTTCCTTTCAGCTTAATTGTATTTGTGTATTATAATAATAATAACCTTGGAGCTCCAAGCAGTTGGGGAAAAAAACAAATTCCAGATCAGGTAGTTTGAGGTTAAATTAGGGAAGTTTGATATTTTACTAGGATCTGGGGGAATTTTACAGAATGGTAGGTTTGTTACGGGTATGTCTGCCTTTGGATGTAAAATATATATACATTGTTTATGATATATATAATTTGTACATCTATATGAAGACACGTTCTTGAAATATTTAAATTATCACTGTGATTAATTATAGACTAGATCAGTGGAGTTGAAATAATGGGAGGTAAAGATGGCTATAAGTTATGGTGGGATAATTGTTTCATTTTTGGTCTGAGTAAAGTATACTTTAAGGCTAGGGTATTTTGTTTTACCTCATGGTTGGTAAACTTGTTACATTGCTGGTAGAAACAACACTGAGCTGACTAAATGCTCAAATCTTTAAGATGATTTGTTATTTAATAAGAGTGTTTTAAATGCAAAAGATACAGCCAGTTTGACTGATGATCTGATGAAATTTTTTTTATCTTTTGAAAGTGTGTAGCAAATAATTTTTTCTGTAAATATATAATGTTCCTGATTTCAATAGGTTCACAAGTTGTACTTCAAATATCGTCGTGCTGAGAGCTACCGGCGGGGACTTATCTACCAGAAGAAATATTTAATGACTTTGTTGGGTGGATATCAAGCAACAGAATCGGCTACTCTGGTCATGCTTTCTAAAATCAGCGGGGATGAAGTTACGGCTAACCACCGGTCTTCTCTGCCTCCCATATCAATATTTCGGTCTGCTGTCTATGTAATTACAGCACTTCAAAGAATGAAAAACTTGATGAACCGATGGAATAAGGTTACAAATGTTCACTCTTCGTACAGTTTACAAGAACCTGAGCGCTTAACTCCTTTAGGATCACATTGTCGGAGTACTGTACCACATGGTAATCAATTTTAGATACCGTTTCTCTTGTACTCTCCATTCCAGTGCCTTTACCTCATGAAAAACATGGAATAAATCCATAAATGTGAACTCATTTTATAAATTGATTATAAACTTGGGATTATGGAATCATGTTAAGCTACTAAAAGTTGAACAAAATTTAAGTCCTCAAAAGCAGTTTAAAAATAGTTTTTAGATTTGTTATAGAACGAGGATTCTACCACTTTAACATTACTTTTATATAACTAGAATTAAAACAAAAAGAAACACAATGGAATTCTCTCTCCAAAGATTTTTTTTATATTTTGAATCTCCTTGTTTTAGTCCCTTTCGAACAGCTTACCTGTATCACGTTTTATCTACTTGTATTTATAAACACGCAAGTAGAGAATATAATAGCTAGTGCTATACGTTTTCATGACATTTTATCCATGTATGTAGATGTTTCACTATTAATTAAATTTATTTTTAATGCATCAGAGATAATAAAACGTTTTAATTTGAAAGTTTCAAATTTTATATTAGTGTTTTTGCAAGTCATTTAAAGGAGCCCTTCAATGGATCAATGGTAGGTTTGAGGGCTTATAACATTAAAATTTAGGGGTTGATTCCTGCAGCAGTCACAATACAGAGCCTATTATGGGATGGGTGTTGGAACTCAAAATAGCTAAGTTTCAAAACATTTAGAAATCCTGGAAATTTCACTTAATCATTAAATAATCAATAGTGTGAGGCTTGAATGATGGTAGTTGTCATATTTAGTGTACATAGTTAAAAAACATTACTAAATAATTACACTCACTCGTGGATTAATGTTTGAAATACTATTGTATAAAATATCACATTCTGTTCTTGCACAAGTGAATACTGGTGCCATCTAGTAGCTAATTTTAACAGATAATTTAAAGTAGGGGATAGTTAGGTAGAAACATAAGTGTGAAGATGAAAGTTTTAGTCAGAAACAAGAATGGTAACTGGTTACTTTAAAACTAACATTTTTAATGTGAATAGCAAGTGACTTCAGTCTCTAAGTTGACAGATAAATTTATTTACTGTTGTGGTTAGTATTTTTCTTTTTTTGTATATTTCTCTGTGTTGAATACAAAACTTACATTACAGGGATTGGTTTGCCTACGTCTAGTGTAGGTGCTAGCTCATCATCCATCACTTCTCAACCAACTTTCCAAGCTGGCAATCAAAACCGACTTTTTACTTCGAAATTGCACTCCCCATTGAGTGGCCATAGTCCTTTACCTCTTCCTACACCCACTGGCTCGAGAAGCATTAGTCCACCTGTCTCAACCGGTCAAACGAGCGGGTCTTCTCGGTTAGTAAACAACGTGTACGTTACCCCACCAGTTAGAGAAAGAAGTTCATCTTTTGCAAGGTGAAATATTTTCAGCTGATTTAGTTAAACATGATGATTTGTTTAGGTAATGGTTGATTTAGTTAAACATGATGATTTGTTTAGTTATTGGTTGATTTAGTTAAACATGATAATTTGTTTAGTCATTGGTTGATTTAGTTAAACATGATGATTTGTTTAGTCATTGGTTGATTTAGTTAAACATGATGATTTGTTTAGTCATTGGTTGATTT